TGTATATATATACACACACACACATATATATATACACACATCACTATTCACTCAGCGTCTACTATATGCAAAACTGAGCAAAAGGAGTCATAACCTTAATGAAACTTACAATTAATTAAGGGAACCAATTCAACAGGACAGTAAACATAAATATTATACAAATTAAAATTTAGCCATCAAGATTCTAAGAAAATCTCAATCACAGTTGATTGGGAAGGGAGAAATGGTGAAAAGAAGTAGTTTCATGAAAGAGAACAAATTTGAAGTGAGAAAAATTAAATAGTAGGGGAAAAGATAAGCACCAAAGATCTAGCATGAAGCCATTATAAAGGCACAATAAGACCTGTCATTGAGTCTGGTTAGAATACAGGACAGGGCTGAGCACCCTGGGTCAAGACTAATCCCATCTAATTAGGAGGTGGAGTTTAGGAGGATCACAGCTGGAGGCTAGACCAGGCAAAAAAGTAATGAGATACCAATTTCAGCAGAAAATCATGATGGTGCTACACTGCATGCTTACTGCCGGGGAGGGAGTGAGGAGGGGGAATAAGGGGAACAGGAGGATTGCAATGTGTCCCAGGCAAAGAATCTATCTAGCAATAGTAAGCAAGAGGCCCTGAGTTCTAAACTCAGTACTGTTCCCATCCCCAGGTAGGACAAATAAAGGGAGTAGGCTGAGGGCTGGAATAACAGTGTGGCAGCTTTCAATTTTCAGAAGGAAGTGCTTCTGTAAATGTTTTGAATTTAGCAATGGAGAGATAGAAGTTTCCAATTCAAGTAATTGTTCTACCACCTCTTATTACCTCTATTGATACCCCCTTAGTTCTAGCCACTAGAATCTTGGAACTGGTAACACCGTAAACAAACACCTTTAAATTGAGTATTTCTGCTTCCACTCTTTTATTCCTGGTCTACTTTTCTAAACATCAGCCATATAGCTCCTTTTATTTGAGGAGATGCTGGGGATTAAACCAAGGGTTTTGCATGTGGCAAGTATATTCTACCACTGACAGACAGACAGACAGACACAGATTGAGGGGGTGGAGGGAATAATTGGCATTGAACTCAGGGCCTCCTGCTTACTTGGCAGACACCCAACCATTTCAGCCATACTCCCAGCCTTTCTGCTTTAGTTATCTTTTAGGATAGGATCTGGTACTTTGGGCCCAGCTGGGACCATGATATTGTTCACAAATCCACAGGAAATTAGTCTCCCTAAATTTTTATGCTGGTCTCAAACCACAATCCTCCTGTTCTCTCCTCCCAAAGTCCTTCTGACAGCACTAATTATCTCACACCTTTACTCAAAAACGCTGCAGTTATTTCTCATTGCACATAAATTTAAGTCACTAGACTTTTTTTTATAAGGTATCTCCAACATTTTGCACTCACCCTCTAATACTGATTTTATCTCCTACTTCTCGTTTACTCATTCTACTCTAAATACATCAGATTTCCCTGCCATAGATAGTTTGACTAATCTGCCTCTAACACTTTTAATTTGTTCTGTTTCCTTCAGGTTTTAAGCCTTCTCTAACCCTATCCTTCATTAAACAGCAACTTCCACTAATTCTCTCCAACCTCAGACTATCCCTAACCCAAAGTGGAGAAGGAATACTGTACAAACTGATTCTTTTTTCTTCATATTAACATCATCTGTAATTTTTTTTTCTTCTCTATCAGCTTGAACTTAGGCCTTATGCTCACTCAACTTGTGTATCTGGCTGGCACTCTACCACTTGACCCATTTCTCTAGCTCTGTTCCTTGTTGGTTATTTTGGAGATGGAGTCTCAAAGTCTTTTCTGCCTGGGCTGGCTTGGATCCTCTCAATCTCAACCTCCTGAGTAGCTAGCTAGGGTTACAGGTGTGACCCACCATTGCAATCTTATTGCTATTATTTTCTGTCCCAAATACATACAAGCCTGCATGTATGTGCAAGTGTATATGCGTGAACACATACACATGAAAACAAAGATCTAAGAGGACAGAGATTGTTTGTTCATTTCAGTATCCTAGCACCCAGAAGAGTCAATCATAGCAGTGTTCAGTACACTCTTGTAAGAAAGGGAGACGATAACATGGTGATAGCAGTTATTTCATAGAAATACCTTGTAACATGCTACATTTATGTGAATATATAGAAAATCTATCCATTTACTACATAATTTTTCACTAATACAGTGCTTGTAAATTAAGCTCTAAACACATAGACTTTTAATCTATTAGCAATTTATCTTTAAAAAGCTTCCCTTTAAGTTATTATTTGGAATGAGGGAAGTTGTGAATGATAAGAATAGATGTGCATTTGTTTTCCTTCTCTTTTCGCTTCTCTGGAACCAATGAGCAATGAATCCTCATGGCCCCTCTTCCTCTCCAACTGAATAGTTTCTGACCTTTTCTCTTTCCCATAGAATTAACCTAATCAGGAGACCAACAGGGTATGGCCAGAAATACAAACTCTGCTGGGTGCTGGTGGCTCATGTAACCCTAGCTACTCAGGAGGTTGAGATCTGAGGATCATGCCTCAGCCCAGGCAGACTCTTATCTCAAATTAACCACCAGAAAACCAGAAGTGGTTCTCAGGCTCAAGTGGTAGAGTGCTAATCTTGAGCTGAAGAGCTATGGGGCAATGCCCAGGCCCAGAATTCAAGCCCCACAACCAACAAAAAAAAGGGGGGGGAATGTAACCTCAGTAGTTATATAGGGTGTTAAGATGGTGGTAGCAATTAGAGGGGAGCCAAGGCAAGAGAAGTAAATTCAGAGAAACCAGGAGAAACTAACTTTTCCCCCCTCTCAATATGGGTCATAACTTGAGGGACTTATGCATGTTAGCCAAGCACTCTCCATTTGAGCTGCTTAAGTCCTCCACTACAATCTCTTCTATTTCTTGAGATAAGAGTCTGTAGCCCAGGCTCAACTCACATTGGACATCCTCCTGCCTCTACCTTCTGAATGTTGGGATTATAAACGTACACCACCATGCCTGGCTGCTAACTATTTTTCATTCAAATATGTTTAAGGTAGAAGCTTTTAAAATACAAAACAACACTAACTTCTTCCCTGTTCTCTTCTGAAACAATGCTGACAGACATGTCATGCTAACATGTTTTGCAGTTCAACACCTAAACTTTAAATATTACCATGAAAGATTTCAAGCATATAACAAAGCATGGTGGTGAGTGAATAATGAAGTACCTACCATGCAATTCTGTTTTTTTACCAAATATACTTGATTTTTTCTAAAGATTCATTCTAAATTTTACATGTTCTAAAACCATATAAATGATCTATTATGTCCTTACTCTGTCACTTACCAGTTGTTTTCTTTAGGCAATTTACTATCTCTGTGCCTCAGTTTCCCCCGAAAAGAAATGGGGACAGCACTACCTATTACCTTATACAGTCTGTGAGGATTAAATGAATTAATATACTGCATAGAAAGCATTTTAAAAAGTATCTTCCTGAGCTGGGATTGTAGCTCAGTGACAGAGTGGTTGCCTAACATGTGAGGGGCCTGAGGTTTCCTCTCCAGCACAAACAAAAACAAAAACAAAACAGGAAGTTTCTTGTTCAAGGGAAGCAGTGCATATCATGTTAGCAATAAACATACAAATTTGTAAAAGGACCTGTGATTTTGTGTGTCTATCTATAAACATATGCTAAGAAAAGTGTAAGTACAAAAATGTTATGTGTACAATCCATATAACGCCAGATGTTTTCAAACTTTCTTTAAAACCAAATTACAAAGTTGAAGCTGAAAAGGCTCCCTAGCCTGTATACAGAGGAATTGAAGGTACTAACAATAGAGAGAAAAAAGTTTTTTTAATTTACAAACTAGGTAACATTAAAATCAAATATAAATTTTTGGCCTAACTAATTCATGATGATTTTTAAAATATCTAAATACTTTGAAGCCTTCTTTTATGTGATTTGAGAGGAGGGTTAGGAGACAAGGAAAATTTCCTTAGTGAGATGCTACTGAAAGACTGCCTGTTAAGCACTATTTTTCTTGTGTTTTTTTTAACTAAGCAGAAAAAATTTTTTAAATGTTTTAAAAAAGGATTCATTTAGATTATATAATTTTTATAAAAACTGGATTCAGTAGAATTTGGCAATGCAACACATTAGCTTAGTTTTGCCATAGGACCATTATCGTTTTAGTGTCCTACATATTATCTGGACTCCAGTCAATTTCTTTCAAGAGATTTTTTTAATAACGTGTATTTGTATGTGTGTGTGTGTGACTGAAGACAAATTGATCTAATTCAATACACAGAGAAATAGCTAGATTTAATGAATATCTAGTAGGCATCATTTACTGGTCTAGAAATTTTTATGCAGGATCTTGGACGGCACGTGAAAGATCTTCATGGAGAAAACTTAGAAGATCACCACAGATATCTTGTTGAAACATGTATACTTCTGCAAAATGCTAGAAGCGACTAGTACAAAGGACAACATTTAAGCCTGGTGAAACAAGTTAAGTGGTAAGTAAACTGTGCTAACTACATCAAAGCGGTGGAATTGAAATAACTGTTTCACCTAGAGTTTTCCAAGTATTCACCCAGCTAAACTGAAAGTAACAATTAAATGTAACAAATGTAGCATCAAACTGCGAACCTCTCCCCAAGAGGGATGGAGAAAAAAAAACCCACCACAACAACAACAACAAAAAAAAAAAAACTCGGATTATGAGAAGTAGCCCGTGGAAAAGTTTTGCGTAAAAAAACGTACTTCTTCTAAAGTGAGCATTTCGAAACGGAACTAACGCTTCCATCCCTTCCCCCTCCCTCCAGTAAAATATTTACAACTTAAAGAGTCCTCCCTGCAACCCCTAAAGAAGACGGGAAACCAAGGAATGACTTGAATCCACCGACAAGGAGACCACAACTATTCTCACCGTTCTCCAAAGGGAGAAAGAACCCAACACACTCACCCTCTGACCCTGCCCAGAGCAAGAAAAGGCGCAGCACCTGCCAAGCCGGACGCGGAAAGAATAATGGCTCAACTTTCAGTCGTAGATGGTTTCTGGAGGAGTTCAAGGAGAGATCAGAAAAAGTCTCCCGCCTCCGCGCCCCCCAAAAGAGGATGTCAGTCTGGGGGCGGCGGGGGGGGGGTTCGTCTCCGCTGCTGGCGGGTGGATTCCAAACCCGCGGGGCTCGGCCCCCTCCGGTCGCGGCCGGCCTGGGGCCTCGGCGCCGCGGGCAGTGTTTACACCTGTCACGAGGGAGGGGAGGGGGTGGGGGGAGGGAGAAGGAGGAAGCCCGTGCAAAGCCCCAAACTTCTCCACAGCTCCCGGGAAGCGGCGGGCAGGTGGCGGCGGCAGGCCAGGGCGAGTCCGCGGCGGCAGGACCGGGATGGGCTCCAACTCCCCCGATCGGAGCCTGGGAGGGCGAGCCCGGACCGTGCCATGCGCTTTCAGGCGCCGCCAGCGGCGTCCCCTCGCCCGCCGCGTAACAGAGCAGAGCCCGAAGCCCGCAGGCCCGCAGAGCCGGCTCGGTCCCGCATGCCCGGTTCCGCGGCGGGCAGGTGCCTCAGGCCAGGGCGAGGAGCCGGCTGGTGGGCCGGGCCGGGTCCCCGCACCCTCTCCCCCCGCGCGGCTGGGGGAGCGGAGCGGCCGCGTTTACCTGGCTCGTCCGGGGCGGCCGCGATGGGCATGGCTCAGGGGCCCGGGGAGGAACTGGCTCCCCGGGGAAGGACCGGCTACTCGGACGTAGAGCTGGCGAGAGCGGAAGGCAGGCTGTCCCCAGCCCTGTCAGCGCAGCAGCGCCATGGACGCCCACCCGGAGTTTCAGCGCTGCCGCGGGACCCCCATCCCACTACCCTCCGCCCTCTTCCGCCGCCGCCTCCTCCGCCTCCTCCTCCGCGGAGACCCCCGCCCACTCCACACACTCTCCCATCATGCAGCGGGGGAACCGCTGCCGCCGATACGTCACTTCCGGGCGCAGGTGGCTAGGTCGGGGCCGGGCGCTGGTGGGTGCGGAGGGTTGGGGAGGGGAGGAGGACACTAGGGGAATTGGTGTCACAGAACGCTTACCCCTGCGCAGGCGCCGTAGCGCCGAACGTCGGCTGCCATTTTGGGTGAGGGCAAACTGCCCTTTCTTTCCTTGTGAGTCACTGAAGTGTTCGAGATTGACGTCCGCCCGCCCGCCCGCCCGCCCTCCGCCGCCCGCGGAGTCGCTGCCTGCTGCGGGGCACCGACGCTCTCCAGCCTGGCTTGCCGTTACGGTTCAGCCCGGGACCGAGTGGTCTCCCCCAAATGAAACCAAAACAATCAGAGGTTTGGGAATACAGAAGCAGATCCCCACCAAAAGAAAACAGCCACAAAAACCCTGCAGGGCAGCGTTCATCAGACTCTCCACGCTAGAGTCCTTTTTGTTTGCATGTAAACCAACAGGAGAGGAATCTGACCGTCCACAAATAACAAAGAGGTGATGGCGAGACCCAACTCAACAAGAGGACGCGGCGTCTCTGACTTTGCTAACGAACGGCGCCGGGGGTCTTCCTTGACCGGGCTTCAGATAACTCGATCATCTCCCGGCACTGCTCCGGCAGAGGTCACGCCAGATGCTTTTCCAGCGCCCGTCCTGCCCGGGCAGTTGATTTGTGCACTCTCACCCCCCTTTCCCCTCCTCGGTTATGACTCTGTTAGATACTCTCCCCCACCCCGCCCCGGTACGCACGGGGGGCGAGGGGGGGGAGGCTACTGCAGCAGGTGACGGGTGAGGACTCTACGGTACAAACCAGAACCCGCCGGCTCCGCTTTCTGCCCACGTGTGCCGAGCCTCCGCATCCATAATCTCAATGATTTAATAATAGTTCCCACACAGCAAAACTCAGCCACGGGGCGGGGGGGGGGTGCGGGGGGAACAGGACAGAAAGCTACCGTTCATCCTAGACAAGTGTCCGTCCCGTCCCTCTGAGGGAAGGAATTCTGTACGTCGGGGACAGAGTAGGACAATAGCAGTTGATCACGGTTTAGCTCGCCACCGGCAGTCTCCTATACAAATTAACTTGGAGCACGAACACAGACCTGCGCTTGTGCTTTTGCAACTCAAGTCGCTGCAAGATACACGGAGGCCGTATCACTTTAAATTGGGGTACCCATTGCTTCGTGGTGGTGCTGGAGGTGTGTGTGCGCGCGCGCGTGCTGTTTTGTTATTGCTCAGTCACGAAAGTGACAAAATCTACAAGGGCTTGTCAAATTTATCCCTATTGTATTTCGCCCCCTGCTGGTTTGTTCTTGTGCAAACTTGAAATATATATATATATATATATATGTATACACCACACACACACACACATATATATATACATATATGTCACTATAAGTGTTTATTGACCGGGAAGAAAAGAAACAAAAATATTTATGTGTGTGTAGAAACTGGAAATGAATTGATTTTGAATAAACATGCTTATTTTTGTTTAATAACTCTACTATTGAGATAAGAGCATATGACAAGATCCTAAGGCAGAATACACTAAGAAAATGCTTAAATAAATGAACTTTAAATATTTTAATAAATTTTAAATTGTGAACTGAAATACTAATAACATTACAAAGGAAACCTTGCTTTTGGGGAAAAGTCTTCCTAATTTCTAGATGATGTACAATTACAAAATAATTATTTTTGTAAATTATTTGTCACTTTTATTTAAGAATAAAAATCTGGAAATTGAATAGCTATTTGACTGACTTGTGAATACTGAATACAATCAACCAGTAATTTAATACTCTTACAGGTAATTCTGAAAACAACATTCTAATGTCTACAAAATTGGGTTACAAAAAAGTCTGTGAATGCTTTTAACATGATAAGTATATGGTTACATTCTCATTAAAATCCATTGCATTTGATGTCAATAGTGTTGTTTTACCTTTTAAATATATGATTATAACTGTATTACCTGACATTTGACATCAAGAAAAATAATAAAATGATGTTATTTGTTGTTTCTATTTCTTTCCCCTGCATAGATTTTTTAAATAAAATTGTAATTATAAGTAGATTCTGTATCCCTGATTTTTACCTAATATTATATTGTCTTTCCACATATTGTATAACATCTTATAAAAGCTTAGTTTTAGTGGCAACATCATAGTCAATGGAATAGACAACATTATTTATTATCCTATTAATGAATATTTCCCATTTTAACTAATACTTTGATGAAAAATTTTTATATGTAACTTTGCCTAATTTTTCTCACTATAAAATTACTGAGCTTGGGGGCTGGAATGTGGCTCAGTGGGAGAACACTTGTCTAACATGCATTAAGCCCTGGGTTTCATTCCTCAGTACCATATAAACAGAAAAAGCCAGAAGTGGTGCTGTGGTTCAAGTGGTAGAGTGCTAGTCTTGAACAAAAGGAGCTCAGGGACAGTGCCCAGACCTGGAGTTCAAGCCCCAGGACGCCAAAAAAATAAATAAAATTACTGACCTTGGTGTTGATGGTTAATACTACATTGCTAAGCTAGTTGGGAGGTAGAAATCAGAAAAATCATGGCTCGGGCTGGGAAGGTGACTCAGTGGTAGAGAGCTTGCCTTGCATGCATGAGGCCCTGGGTTCGATTCCTCAGCACCACATAAGCAAAAAGAAAAAAGCCGAAGTGGCGCGGTGGCTCAAGTGGTAGAGCTCTAGTCTTGAGCTGAAGAGCTGAGGGACAGCACCCAGGCCCAGAGTTAGGCCCCACGACCCAACCCCCCCCCCCTAAAAAAAGAAAGATCAGGGTTCCAGGCCACCTGGGCAAAAAAGTTTGAGTGTCTTATCTACAAGCGTTAGTGTACACACAAAGTCCCAGCTATTGGAGGAAGTGTAAGTAGGAGGATTGTGACAGGCTAACAGGAAAAAGAAAGACCCTATCTCAAAAATAGAACCAAAAGGGTAGAGATATGGCTCAACTGGTAGAAGGCCTGCTGCCCTAAGTTCAAACCACAGTACTGCCCCCACAAAAAACCCTAATCACTTACTGATGCTAAGAGTGTTTTAAAGATATTTTATCATGTCATATTATTTTCCTAAAAATTGTACCAATATGTAATGCCATCAGTAAAGTCAGGAGTGTATTAATTTTTACCATCTCTTCTGCAGCAATGAATAGTGATTAAAAGAAAAAAAACACTAGAGTAAATGCAAAAGAACTTAATTCACATTGTATTATATAAGAAATCAAGCAAGCCAAGTTCTAATTATGTGATATTCTGGAAAGGCAATATAACAGACCTGGATCTATTTTCACCATGGTTTTGTATAAATTACTTCAGCTTGATTGACTTCAGTTTCCTTGTAAATCTACAAGAAGGTGGAGCTAGACCATAGCTTCTTAACCTTCACTGGGCAAGAACTACTTAGCACATGTAAGTCCTCAAGAATATGGACAAAACTTGGGCCCTTTCGATAGAAAACACAGACACTAAAATCTCTAGACTCTTAAAGGTCAGTCATGGAACAGGTTCAGTGAGGGCTTAAGAAACCTGCTAGTGCAGGGTGTGGTGTGATAATGCATGCCTGTAATCCCAACTACTTGGGAGGTAGGAGGCTAATGGGCAGAACACACAAAACCCTAGCTGAGAAACAAAAGGAAAGCAAAAGGGGCTGAGAGCAGGACCTTAAGTGGTAGAGAGCTTAAGTACAAGACCCTTAGTATAAACACCAGTACTGCCCTTCCCCAATAAAGGAAGAAAAGTAAACAAAATTTCAGAATGAGTAAAATAGGATGTGTATTTACTATGTGTTTTTATGTCAATGTATTCTGACTTATGGATGCACATTTTTAATAAAATATAAAAATACAGATTAGAAGGATGTACACCAAATTTATTAATATCTATTATGTATCAAGAAGTACTAAAGAGGGGCTGGGAAAGTGGCTCAGTGGTAGAGTGCCTACCTTGCATGCCTGAGGCCCTGGGCTCCATTCCTCAGCACCACATAATCAGAAGAAAAAAAAAGCCGGAAGTGGCACTGTGGCTCAAGTGGTAGAGTGCTAGCCTTGAGCTGAAGAGCTGAGGGACAGTGCCCAGGCCCAGAGTTCAGGCCCCATAACCGGACCCCCCCCAAAAAAAAGGAAGTACTAAAGAGAGCATCTGTAATGCATGATATTTTACATTTTAAAAAAGATTTGAAGAAAGGAAACTATAATGTCAGCCACATATGTAATTTACAATTTTCCAGTAGCTATATTTTTAACTTAAGTAAAAAGAAATAGGTGAAATTGGTTTTCATAATGTATTTTACTTAATCAAATATCTAAAATAGTTTGGCATGAAATACCTTTAAATTATTAATAAGATAATTTATATTATTTATAATACACTAGAAGGATTGCTTTAACATGCAATAAATATCTTTAAATTATTAAGTAGATAACTTACATTATTTTGGTACTAGGAATTCAAAATCCTGTGTATAAATTCTACCAATAGCACATGAGCACATACCATATTACATAGAGGTTTTGTGATAGCCATTTTAATGTATTAGTAAGGCTAATGCAAGAGGAGTCAATTTAGGTTTGAAACCTCCTTCCCCTAGGTCTAGGAAATGTCTTTGAGTTTCTTTAGTTAAATGTTATATATCAATGCCAATTCTCATCCTTTACCCCAGGGGCCTATCCTCCAAATTTTAATCCTTAGAAAGTTTTATAAAATTTGGTGGACATAAAATTCAAGCCTTTGAAACTTTTGCTGCACTAGAGCATTGCCTTTGTTAAAAAAAAAAAAAAATCACATGTAGCCAGGTGCTGGTGGCTCAGGCCTGTAATCCTAGCTACTCAGGAGGCTGAGATCTGAGGATCATGGTTTGAAGCCAGCTTGGACAGGAAAGTCCATGAGACTCTTTATTATCTCCAACAAACTACTCAAAGAAAGTGAGAAGTGGCACTGTGGCTCAATTGGTAGAGTGTTAGCCTTGAGCACAAAGAGGCTCATGGATAGCACCCAGGTCCTGAGTTCA